CACACGCTTGCACCATTTCACACTGCTTCACTAAGCATGTTAGCAGCAGGCTGAATCAGAAACAGGACAGCCAGTGCTTCCCCCAGGGCTCCTCCGTGGGAATCCAAGAAGCCAACTGCGGCATAACCCACTGAGCCAGACCACTGGGCTCAGGTTTTACTTTCCTTACCTAATTTACTCAGACCTGTTTTTCAGTCTTTTTCATTAATGTTACATATGAAACAGTATTTTTTTTTCTATCTCAGTTTTTGGTTTCTCCCTAAGAATTAAAAAGCTATTGGTTATGTATGTTATGTATGTTAAGCCTGCCATCTTATCAGTCTCCATAGTTGTGAAAGATTTTAAAGGCATTTCTCGGGTTTTGTAGGCAGGTCATCATCTGAGAACAGTGGCTTTTTCTTAGTATTTAAATGTTATTATTGTTTGCTCGCATAATTAGTGTGTGACAAATATTGCCAAGCAATAATGACAAGCATCATAATGTTTTATTAATTTTAATGAGACTGTCCTTAGTATTAATATTTTTGTAAATAATACATATGTAACCTCTGAAATTAGCCCATTGTGTCTGGTAGTTTTTCTTATTTTTCTCTTATTGTTTTGTTTATTCTTTTTATACTTAGAATGTATTAATTTTAAATTTGGATGCTAAGAGAGGGAAAGAGCTCTGTCCAATGGCTCACTCTCACAATGCCCTGTACTGCCACGCTGGGCCAGGCAGGAAGCCAGGGACTGGGAAGGCTGGGACTGGGAAGGCTGGGGCTGGAAGGATAGGAGGGGGCTGGGAAGACTGGGACTGGGAAGGCTGGGGCTGGAAGAATGGGACTGGGAAGGCTGGGGCTGGAAGGATGGGACGGGACTGGGAAGGCTGGGGCTGGGAACTTCATCCTGGTACCAGAGCCATGACCTGTTGCCTCCCAGGATATGCATTAGCGGGAATACAAAGCTGAGTACCAGGGACTCAAATCAGGCATGCCAATGTGAGATGCTGAGCATAAGTAGCGACTTAGCTTCTGATCCAAATACCTGCCCAAGGTTTCCTTTTCCCCCACTTCTTTTTTCAATATCATTCTTCCATATGAATCCTGAATATGATATTCTCCATGACGGTTTACTGCAAATACAGACTCTGGGAGGCAGCATGCCAGGCCATGTAATCGGGTTCCCGCCACTACTGTGTGTGATCTAGATGGACTTTGTGGCTCAGCTATTGCGAACATTTAAGAAGTGACCCACACAATAAGAACGCTGTCTTGTTCTCTCTGTTCCTCTTCTCCATCTCTTGAATAATCAGCAAAACAGTTTTTAAAAATAGAGCTCTGCAGTATGTCAGCAGCTACTTTTGATTTTGCCTTTGGATGTTTGGCAGAATTTGATGTTCTTTGGTATTTTAATAATTATTGGAAAGGGCAGTGACGTCCTCACTATGGTCTGACCTGGAGAAAGTTTTTTCTGCACCAGGCAAGAACATAGTTCCTTCCTGCAGACTGTCACCATTGTCCAGTGTAACTTATGTCCTTAAAGATTCATTCTAGACCTTTTGTGCTGGAGCTGGTGGGGGTGGCCAGCTCGTGGGGGCCTGGGAGTGTGAGCTTTCAGGAGGCCTGGGGGATGGTACTGGCAGGGGTGTGTGGGTACCTGGGGGCTCATGTCCAGGCAGGCAGAGTGAGCTTGGAGATTTCCCCATGTGCTAAGTCCCAGGCAGGGTTGGGGAGAGGAGAGGAATGGGGAGCCCAAGGTAGCATGCTGGCCTGGTGTGCTGGTGGACTAGGCTTGGGAAACTGAATGGACCTGGATCCTGGGTGTGTGGAGGAGTAAGGTCCTAGGCCAGTACATGTACCAGGAGCTTGGGACCCAATTGGACGGGCAGAGCTCTAGGGGAGCACACCATCCCACTGCAAGACTGAGCTACAGAAGGCAAGGCTGAGAAACCCAAATGTTCCTGGGTGCAGGGACTGTGGATTGATCAGGGAAAGAGGAAGGGGATGTGGGGAAGCACCTATGTTGCAGGTGAGGAATGGTGACTGCTAAGGGACTCTCATCAACAAGGCCACTGTGCTTGTAGGTAAGTGAGAAGGCTCAGATCTGGCTGTTTGGAGGATACAGGCTGGAGGACCTTTATAGGTCAGAGTGATGCACAAATCCATGTGAAAGACCTAAGCTGGGCTAGTTAGCATGGACCACAACCGACCACCACTCACCGGTGTTCACTGAAGCCATGGCTGGGGGCCTACGTGGCAGGACTAGATCACAGTACCTGCCAGTGAGTGACATAACAGGCAACGGGTAATGTTGAGCTGGGCCATTACACTAACTAGCACATGCGAGAACCAGGCCTGGAGGTAGATTCTGTGGAGAATATGTGGGCTCACCCCTGAGGAACTGCAATTTCTTCTGTTTTGCTTAAGTTGCTGAGCTAGGCATGACCATGGAACCCTCTGACACTCGTGAGTACTGGTGTTAGGAACAAGTTGGGCTGGTTAGCACCTGCAGGCACACCCAAGAATAGGATGTAGGGTGGGCTAGGCCTTAACATCCACCAGCTCTCAATTCTCCTGAGCCTAAAACCTTTTTCCTGGCTTAAAGGATCCTGCAGAACACAGGACCATCCATTGCCCCAAGTGTCTTGCCTTCCTTATTGTTCTCTGCACCCAAGAACAATGACTTTCTTTCAGTTTCCCATTTCATTATTTATATAAATGATAAAATGAAAGAGATATCAATTTTCTATCGTCTGGTTCACTGCCCAGATGCCTATAATAGCTAGTGCTTGGCTGGGCTAAAACCACTGGCTGGGAGCTCAATGCTGGGTCCCCATGTGGGTGGTAGGGCCCCGGGTACTTGAGCCATGATCTGCCTTCCAGGGTCCACAAACTTAAAAAAAAAAAACAAAAAACACAACCCTTGCATGTGTTATTTTTGTCTGCTCTTAAAAATACCCTGTGCAGTGTTCTTAGAGCTAGATGGTTGGTTAGACATGAGCATCCAAGGGTTCATTGTGAGTTCAAAGCACCAGCTGCCTGCTGTCAGGTGGGAGTCACAGTACCCAGGCCATGGTCTGATTCCTCACTGCTAAGAGGATATGCCTGGCAACCATCAGTGTTTTGTAATGTGGGTGGCGGCGAGATGCCATCTCCAAACAAGAGATACCTTAGGAAGCAAGTTGTCATCGACTTCTAATTCTGCTTGCCTTAAGAGAAACAGTTCCTGTAGTGGTTAACCCTTTTAAGCCATTCCCTAGAAAGTTTTAACCATGGCCAGATACACCTCAGAATTATCACATCACCAATGTGTCTGTCTCTAATGCCTAGTAATGGAATTTCTTGTTTCAAAACAAATTTGGAGAAATGATTTGTGTGTGCTTCTTATCATTTGTGATTATGTCTTCAAGGGATGCAAGTTTTTTCTTCTGCAGGACTTGCAGTTAAATTGAAGTCTGTCTTCTATTATGTGAGCACTGACAAATTAATACAGGATGCTTACATAGAATGAATGGTTCTTCCACCATCATTAAGGCAATTATCTGGAAGTATGCAAACAGACTGCGGACAGTTGATGGTGCCATGAACTAAGCTGCCATGTTGCAGAGGCCACCACATCCTACACAGGGCTTCTACAGACACCTGTTCAAACTCAAACCAATGTCATCCTGGCTGCTTATTATCATGGCCAACAATGATTGTTTCAAAATAGGATCCTTCTATTTCCATACCTATCCTCCTTGAATATGCTAAGAATTAGTATGCAACACTTTTCTCTTCATTGTACTGCACTTCCCAAATCCATACCATTCTTTGAGCAATCTAATGGATTATTTAGGTTGGCATGTGATATGTGAATTGATGTTCTTAACCCCCAGTTTGTTGCTGTCTTTTGAGCATTTCCAGGCATGGAATTCATGTTTTGTGTATGTGGTTTAATTACTCATCTTTAATGATTGTGGGTTTGCATTGAACATTTTTAATGATTATGAAGAGATGAGAATGTGGCAGTCACTAACATTTGCTGGTTTTGTATTGTGCTTTAGATGCTGCAGCGCCAGTTGAATGCTTGCTGTGCTAGGTGCCCTTTAGGCATCTCTTAGGTCCGTAACGGACATACAGAAATGTTTGCAAGCATTTTCTGATGACTACTTGGAGAGGTGTGTGCCAGCCATTTACTATGTTGATGGCGTAGATGCTACAAAACATCTACAATGCATGATGCAGTCCCCCACAACAGAGAATCATCCAAGCCCAAATGTCAGTAACACCAGGGTTATGAAACACTACTTAAGGACTGGCAGTGTGACAGTTGGTTAAGCTGCTACCTACAGTGCTGACATCCCACATGAGTACCGGTTCTGACTGCTCCGCTTCCCACCCATTTCCCTGCTAATGTGCTTGGAAAAGCAGTGGAGGATGGCCCAAGTGCTTGGGCTCCTGTAGCCACAGGGGAGACCCCGAAGCTTCTGGCTTTAGCCTGGCTCAACCCTACCCATTTCAGCCATTTGGGAGTGAACCACAGATGGTGATCTAACTTTGCCTTTCAAATTGACAAATCCATTTCTTTTTTTTTTTTTTTAACAGAAATACTATGTTACAGGCTAGTTGAGATGACTGTAGCATTTAAAAGAGTGTGCATTAGTTAAATATTGGCTACTGTTATGATCAAGCTTTGTGCCACAGCTTATGTAATTTCCTCTTTAACTCAGTTTAAGCTTTCATTTCCCCTTCACTATGATTAGAACTGACAGCTACTCCCAATTTTAAACTCTTTTAAAAGTTCTTCCTTGCAAGGAATTAAAATGAAATTCTTTGTATATCTCATACAAGTTGAACCCATCACAACTACCCCAGTTGTCATTTAGGCACAACAAAATTGCGGCAAATGTCACAGCAAAGCAATGAAAAACCTGGTGAGAGGAAAGAAGATGCAATGTGGCTTTTTTTTGGAATAGTGATGCTTCATGACATGTCAGGAAAATGAACTCATTAAAAAAGGAACTCCATAAACAGAGACACACTACAATAGTTAATTTTATTTGTTCAAGAGCTCATTTTGCAAGCATTAAACCAGGCTACACTTTGAGTCTGAGCCCGAAATTCAGCTATATGAAGGAAGAGAGAAGCAAACTGTGCTCCATGTACCTGGAGGAAATTATGGGCTCAGGGCTAATCACGCCACGGGTGTTTCTACAGCCTAGGCCTCGGGAGTCACAGGTCCTTCAGGTCCTTCTGGATGTCCCACAGGGTGTCTGCACTCTTCTTGAGCTGTGCGACCTCATCGTCCTTTAGCTTCTGGTTGATGACACTGGTCAGTCCCCGGGCGTTGAGTATGCATGGAAGGCTCAGGAAGACCTCATTCTCGATGCCGTACATGCCCTACAGGAACAGCAAACACGCAGTTCAAGACCCCAAACTGCAGGTCAGGAACCCTGACAACCAACTCAAAACCTCTGAACACAAACAGGATATTGGGTAAAACTCATTCTCTAATCTCTCATTTCCCCAATGCTTATGTGTTGAATTTAATACCAAAACTATGCAAGCACACATGACAAAACTAGCTAGCTGTAATGAACCTTATTGAATATGTGTTTTGTCCATGGCTATCTTAGATACTCTTTAATGAAACAATGTGTCTTCATATTGTTTTGATGGTGGCTCCCAACGGATTACTCTTCATGTTTCTTAAAAGATTTTTAAATTAAGGAGAAGACTTCAGGTGATAGCCAGCCTACCAAAGTCCTTGGTACTGGGTGGTGAGATTCCTACAACTCAAAAGTTGCTGAGAAACCCTATAATCTCAAAGATAATCCACTTGTTTATGTAGCATAACTTATTCCCAGTTAATTTAAGTATATAACTAGTCAGAATTCTTAACTATAATTAACCGTGTTACTTTATTTATCTGAAGGGCACAGATAGACCTGCCATCCAGTCATCATTCCCCCAAGGGCTGGATCGACCAAGGTTGGGCTGGGCTAGGCCAAAGCTAGGAACTAGGAACTCTCTCCTGGTCTCCTGCAGGGGTGGCAGAAGGCCAAGCACTTGCTCCATCTTCTGCTACCTTCCTAGGCTTATTACTAGGAAGCCGATTGGAAGCAGAATAGACTAGAATCAAACTGGCACTCTGAGAGGAAATGACAGTGTTATACACAGCAACATACACCACTGTACAACACTGGCCCCAAGCAAATTATTTCAATATGATGAAAGACTTCTTAACTCTAAAGTTTTCTATATACACGAAAATAGAGGGAAAAAAAACCTAATTTCTGAATTTGTACCCTGAAAATCAGCAATTTGCTGATCAGAATATTTGCTATACTTCTTTTTGTTAGGTTTTTCTACAGCATTCTGCAACAAACATCTGGCACTAGGTTTTACCTCCTAATATTTTGTACATGCATATCTTCTGCATTTGTCTCTTATTCATTGATGTTTCTTTTCCCACTTATTTTTAAAATCTGACACTGATTGTTAGAAAATGAAATAGTTGTTTTAGAAAGTACTTTAATGACATTTTGTTTAAAAACAATCAGTTTCTATTTAAATATTTTGTGTATGTGTTCAAAAGGCTTAACATATACTCAATAGATGATAAGCTAGTATTAAGTTTGCAATATCATAAATTTATAAAAAAATTATTACATGTCTAACAACCTACAGATTTTACAGTCTTGTAGTAGGCTTCTATAGGACACGGAAAACCTTTTACATAAAACTTTGAAATACAGTGACTGTGGAGTGGGATCCTGGCTCGTCCTTTACACTCATCTATTATAGGATACAAGGCAAGAAATCAATTTGTGTGTTGTATTAGTCGTACCTTCACCATGGTTGACACTGGGTGAATCCTGGAGAGATTTTTCAGCATGGACTCAATGAGATCAGCCACACTTAATCCAATAGCCCAGTTGGTATATCCTTTCAGCTTGATGACTTCATAGGCACTAGGATTAGAATAGTGATAACAGGTCATAGGCATCCATCCTAGCAGTTATTACTGACTCTCAGGCTTCCCAAGAGTAATCATGAGCAAATGCCTTAGTAAAGTCTTGTTAAAATAGAGAAACAAAGCAACCAGTGTCTATTGCCTAACTTTGCTGGGTTAGGTGAAATTTTTATATACATATGTATATAATGCTTAAAAATGTATAAGGCACTAATAAATATTCGATAAATGTAAATACCTTACTAGTAAGTGAATATTTGTAAAGCCAGACTTATATGTTTCCAGCTCTCTTTTTGAGGAAAGTTTATTTGTAAGACAGAGTTACAGAGAGAGAGAGTACCATCCATTTGTTCCTTCCCCAAACAGCCCCAGTGGCCCAAGAAGGGCAAGGTTGAAGCTTGAGCCTTCAAGCCATTTTCCGGCACATTAGCAAGGAACTGGATCAATTGTGAGCCCTATGGCATGCTGGCTTTAACACATCACACCACAAAGCTGGCCTCCTTTCAACTTTCTGAGATTCTTGAGGCAGTGTTGTGATGCGGTAGGATGGTCCTTCAGCTAAGATGAAGTTCCTGGCTTCCCGGCTTTGTTTGGCTTAGTCCAGATATGGCTGTTGTGAATCAGTGGATGCAAAATCTCTGTCACTCAGCTGCTCTGCTTTCCAATAAGTAGACAAATTGACTTTTTAGTCAAACTCTTAAAAAAAAATCAGTAAAACCGAATGCACAATATAGTTGCATATTCAAGATACTAGTATTATTACAAAAAAATTTCTGTATGTCTAGCATTTATTGCTTATCACTAGGTATACAAGTGTGGGTCCTTTAATGTAGTATAAGTTTATGACCATAATATTTTCCACAGAAGAGAAGATTTGTCTTAAAGGTTAGACAGCTGCCTCTAGACTATACAGGTAGAGTTATCAGTAGCAACCCTGAATCCAAGTCCCTATCCTCTCTCCCCCATCCAAAAAGATGTTTTATTCTATGATAGAAGAGATTTCATTCTGTGATAAAAGTCATAGAAATAAGATAGTTAATGACCAAAGAGACAGCTTAAAATTAAAAAAAAAAAAAAACAGAAATGATAGGGAGGGAGAATATTTTATGTTTAGAACTTGAGCGTGGAAAGTTAATTACAGACCAGTTCAAGCTTTGAGCAGCTCAGCAGCAGGGACATGTTTTAGGTTACTGTGATACTACAAAGGTCTAGGTTTACCTTTCTAGGTAAACCCACCTTATTTGTTTAGGAGCCTATGTGAAGGTCTTTGTCATTTGTTCATTCCATGTACTGCTTGTTACCTCTACCCTAGACTGAGAGAAAATATTTGTTGTCCCTGGGAGGACTGGTACAGCTTGTTTGACCACTCTGAGTCTTTTTCCTGTTTCCAAAGATAATAGGTGCATACTTACTGCACTACAATATGATGAGCAGTCAGCCATGGAAATCATAATGTGATCTGAGGGTCAGACCGAGTCATCCCAAAGCACTCACCTTTCCACCACCATCTTGTGTACCTCCTTCCAGTTTTCACTGTCATTGTCTGTTCCCATCGCTGGGTTCAGTTCCTGAAGAGAAACACCTGCCACATTCACACCACTCCAGACAGCCACTAGAGGAGAAAGAAAAAAAAAAAAGACACTCTAGACATTTCTGAAGCATCTTGTTTAAAACATTGTTCACTCCTCTGTTTAATTTCACCTCAAATCCAGGTTACTGAATACCAGCTGGAACCACTCCAGTGACCAGTAACTCCCTGAGTTCCCAGAATGGCTGTCGCTTGCCTTCAAAGAGCAATACAGTTGACCCTTTGGCTCTCAACAATTTCAGTGCAAAACAGAGGTGTTGTGACATCGGTACAGAGACTGTGAAATTCTTTACTTCTCTCAAGGTTTGTGAAGTCATAACAGGTTAGTTTTAAACTTCTGCTCTGAGAAGTTTTTAAACATTGATTTTTTTTTTTTTTTTTTACAGATTTCATTTATTTACTTATTTAAAAGTCAGAGTGATGAAGGGAGTAAGTTTTTTAATCCACTAGTCTACTTCCCAAATGCCTGATGCAACTATAGTTGGGCCAGGCTAAAACCAGGAGCCAGGAATTTCAGCCTGGTCTTCCATGTGGGTGGCTAGGGCACAAACACCTGGGTCATCTTCCATTGCTCTCCAGGTATAGTAACAGGGAGCCGAACTGGAAATAGAGCAGCTGGGACTTGAACTAATACTCTGGCATGGGATGCTGGCATTGCAGACAGTAGCTTGACAGTATCAGCCACGATACTCATCCTGATTATTAGTGTTTTTTTTTTTTTAATTTAAATTAGATTTTTTCCTCAAGAAGTAAAAGGCAAATCCTGGAGTAAGACTCAAATACAACATAATTATATCAAAATACAGTCTAATTGACAACAGACAGTAACAAGTATGAGAAAGGCCTACCAAAAACAGTAATTTGATCTAGACCTTGACATTTAAGTTATGTGTGCTTTTCACAGACCTTTGGAGACAGTGTGACAGACGCAGGAAATGCAAGCAAGGGTAGGGACAAAGTCTAGTGTGACTCAAACAGAGCTGCTCGTGGCCAAATCGGAGCCCTGTTTAGGCCATCACTCCTGCCGCCAAGTCAGGCCAATCGGGAATTTTCATGATCTTGGATGAAAACTCATGACACCCGTATAATCATGCCTATGTGAACGTGGTTAAACTCATCTAGATAGCCCAGCTCGATGAGAAGGTAAAGAAACTCCAGATGTTGTAGGGAAAAGGATACGGGAATGTGAGAATAAACACTGGGCCAGAGTTGGGCATGTCTGAAAGCCACGTCGCTTCTATGGCCTTCATGCCAAGTGTGTCATCTCAACCCGATTACAGGAAGTAATTGGCTGTATCTAAACTAAGGAACAGTCTGTACAGTAACTCACTGACTCAAAAACAAAGGAAGGCTGAGGAGCCATTCTGGACTGGGGGAGATACAACTGGATGTGATGTGTAATCCCAGGGTAGATTCTGAATCAGGGAAAAAGCTCCACAGGAAATCACCGGGACTGTGGAAGATCAACGAAGATGGACTTTGGGTCCTGTGGTTAGTCCTGGAGTTTGTAGAAAATAGACTGGCTACACAGAAAGGCCTGCCATTGAAAAGTACACCCTAACGGACGTGGGGAGAAGAGGGCCAGATGACTGTGATTTATGCTTAAATGTATCACAATGAAAATGGTAAGAGAGAGCAAATGATAAAGCAAATGGGACAGTGACAACTAACTGGACTACTACTGCAACTTCTCCAAACTATAGCCCAATATAAAAATAAAATTTAAAAAAAGCTGCAAGAATAAGTCTACAACTCCACTGTAAATTCTGTTTTTTGTTTTTTTTTTTTACCACTTGAGTCGCCGTGTTCTCCCAGAATCCATCCATGGCAGCTGGTGGGATGAATGCCAAGTTTCTCAGCCATGAGATAGCGAAATCTAGCCGAATCCAGGTTACACCCACTTCCAATCACACGGTGCTTGGGCAGTCCACTTAGTTTCCAGGTTACATATGTGAGAATGTCCACTAAACATTTCAGGAAAAAAACAAAAACAAAAGATACATAAATCCAAGTTGACTTCTATGCCAGCTAGTGTTACAGGTACCTTGGCTTCCTTTTATTCTGCATCCCCATTCATAGTGATGGCAGGTATGAGAAAAGATAAAACTTAAGCCTTAGAAGTACTAAGATTGTAAAGCATAAAACATCCAGTGATTCATGCTTCTTACATGCATCATTAAAAAAGCATAAGAACCTTTCAGATGCATCTGCATTTTGAAAAAGTGGTTAAATCATTATCTCTAGATTCTACCAGTTCTTATTTTTAAAAAAAGGTTTATTTATTGTTATTGGAAAGATAGATATACAGAGAGAAGAGACAGAGAAGATCTTCCATCCGCTGATTCATTTTCCAAGTGGCTGCAACGGCCAGAGCTGAGCCAATCTGAAGCCAGGAGCCAGGAATTTCTTCTGGGTCTCCCATGAGGGTGCAGGGTCCCAGGGCTTTGGGCTGTCCTCAACTGCTTTCCCAGGCCACTAGCTGGATGGGAAGTGGGGCTGCCGGGATTAGAACCCGTGCCCATATGCGATCCCAGCACATGCAAGGCAAGAACTTTAGCTGCTAGACTACCATGCTGGGCCTACTTCCCATGAATGTAATGAATGTTCTTATAAGTCTAAAGTGACTGATTATGGTGCTGGAAGAGATATGGTTCAAAAATCTGTGGTGTTTAGCATACAAGGATTCAGATGTTGTATTTAATTAAAGGGCATCCATAACAGAACCTTTGTTCCTGGAAGGCACAGCATTGAAACCACACAGAGGCAAAACTTGTGCTGGTTCAGGCAGGACCCCAGCAACTACAGGCCAAGCTGTGAAAAGCAGGAAGATACAGACAAGAAAGGAAGGAGCTCAAATAAACCCAGTAGCCTCAACCTACAGATTGTCTGAGAAATTTTAGGATGCTTTGAGTTCAGTACCAAAGATAGACTCCTTGGAGAATTAGAAATGTGAAGCTGTACCAAGAAAGTTGTCTAGTCAATGAAGAATGCTCAAAAAGCTAGATATTACAACAGATACATTAGAAACTTTATATATAGGACTGGAATATCTAGAACACTTTATTCTGCAGATTCTGTCAATGACAATTTCTTCCTGCTCTGAACTGTCATACTCAAGGCTCTGAGTATTGTGTAAGATACTTCTTACATTTTTGAACATGAACTGTTACTGTTAGTGAATACTGGAACAGATGTTAACTCCAAGTCAACACCAACTCCAAAACACTGAACTTGGAACTGAGATAAAGTATAACAGTACCTGGGTTGGAAACCACAATTATGATGCAGTCAGGACTGTACTTGACAATCTGGGGAATAATGAACTTGAAGACATTCACGTTTCTCTGCACCAGGTTGAGACGACTCTCCCCCTCTTGCTGACGGACGCCCGCGGTCACCACGACGATCTTAGAATTGGCAGTCACAGAATAGTCTTGAAAGAGAAGTGGGGCGGGAGACAGGCACTTTCACTACAACACTTCACCCAAACATATTTCATAGGCCGTGCACGGACAGCCTGGCCACGCCTGAGCTGCAGGAGCTTGCACAATAAAGAGATACTTTGTATTGTGAGGTTTGGCAATTTAATTTTGAAATGGACCAAGAATACAGACTGTCTTGAACCAGCTCCATCAGATATGCCAAGATGGGAAAACTTGTTTCACAATAAGGAATGAAACAGAATAGGAAATTAACATAGCCAGAAATGGAGGCTTCACTCAAGCTGGGAGGATCTGGGGAGAGTTTAGAGTGCAGGTAGACATGTATACAAAGACAAGACAGCTTCCAAGATGGGAACATATTCAAGCTTTCACACAGAAAGCATTTGCTTTAAGAATCAGGAAAACTGATGTGGCAAAGGGAGCATGGATTACATGTGAGCTGCCAGCATGAAAATGCTGATTTGCTGGGTGCACATTTCAGAATGCTCTTAAAATACATGCCGAGAAATTGACAAAAGAAAGTCACCTCACAGGAGAAGAACGATACAACTAACCAAACAAGCTGCAAATCACACTTGGCTATTTCCTCCTAGTGATATATCAATGGTCATGTTCAGTTTTTGACTTCCATTAGCAAGGGAATCCAAAATTAACATTACAGAAAATTAGAAAATGAAGAAAAAAAATTTAAAAATGGAAAAGTACTACTACCAGATGAAACTTTACAGTATTTGAAAAGAATTCCTGAACCAAGAGTATTTTAATTACAATACCTACAGTAACAGTTCCAAAATTTCAATTTTTCCTAATTAAAAAAAATATAATAAGAAGCATTCCAAATGCAGTTTTTGTTTGTTTCTGCCATGAAAAGAGAAGTTGATATTTGACAACTTTGGACATGAGATCGAAGTACCTTTATCTGCCACAATTTTAGGTGTCTGAAGAAACAGGCTCCCATGCTGCAGATCCATCATCTCTCCTTTGAGTTTATCTTCCAACACATCCACAAGGGCAAGCTCATCAGCGAGGGACTGCAAACAAGCAAGAACACAACAAAGACATCCCCAGGGATCAGTACCCTACGGAAATCTGTATCGTCTGGGCTCAGAATCCAACCATTTAAATGGCCCCACACCAAACCCTCAAGAATATTATCATGGAGTTAGGTTCTCAGTAAGGACACAATTCACTCGGGGAAATCTGCTTTAAGGGGCCAGTGTTGTGCCTCACAGTTTAAGCTGCCCCTGTCACACTAGCATTCCAAATAAGCACCCTTTCAAGTCCCAACTGCCCTATTTTTAGTCCAGCTCCATGCTATGGTACCCGAGGAAGCAGTGATGCGTATACTGCAAACTCTGCCATCTATATGGGGGACTGGTCGGAGTCCCAGGCTCTTGGGATTCGGCCTGACCCAGCTCTGATTGTGACTAATGAGAAACTCGCCTGCCCGAAGGATAGGCCCAGGGCACAAAAGTCTTCATGTAAAAGAAGGGACTATCAGAGAGGCCAAAAAGAGATTACCCAGACCAAAACACAACCATGGGCAGTGTGGCCATCCCCAAGGTTCCTCCTGATCACCAGGGTTTAGGGAGAGGCAGATTTGAATGAAATCCCCAAAAGTGTGAGTTCCTTTTAGATTTGAAGCCCTGGTTGAAACTTGGCATCCTCACGTGGGCTCTGATCAACTCAGATATCTTGGGCAGAGGAAGAGGGTCTCATGGAGGGAAGACTCAGGACGGGCAGGTCTTCCCATTCAGGATCACCCTGAACCTGTGATTCTGAGACTGTCAGGTCTCAGAGCTCCTCCTGTTTTCTTACTGCAAGTGTCATTCTTTGTCCTCTCTGCAAAATAAACTCTTAAGTCAGTGCCTTGAGGGTACTTGGAAGTTTGTGGGGAAGCAAAATGATAAATGCACATTTTGAGATATCCTTGTATTTAATCTGCATCTGGTATCATAATTTTCTGACTCTACATAAATAGCAGGAAGAAAAAGGAAAAGAGCAAAAAAGAGGATTTGCGTTTTGATAATCCTGTGTGTTTGTCGAGTTCTCGATCTTTTCTTCTTGTCAATTGGAGCACTCAACCTAGATGCATCTAAACAGTCTTCCAGCTTTGAAATTCCATCTCTTTAGGACATCTCATACTTTATAGCCTTTTTAAGTGGTTCCTAACCTTTACTGTTTTTAGGACTGTTAGCAAGATAATCGGCCTAAGTGGATACTATCAGATAGCCATACCACAGATACCTGTCGTCATTGCACAGGTGTTCAGGAAAAGGCAGTTTCTTGGAGTTAAGGAAACAGTTTAAGATGCAAAAGGCACAAGGAGAGCTGGAGGAAGGTAGTTACGGCCAGCAGAGGGAGATGCAGCACTGGGGTGGAGACAGCCAATAGGAAAACTTGACCTACTTAGCTAGAAGAGAAAGGCATCAGGCTCCCTGCGGGACTGTGAATCAACATGGTTGCAGCCGCTAGGGTCTGGGTAGCTGGCTGGCCTCGAGAGGTGGGTCACGCAGGCCTGTTTGGGAGGGTCTCTGAGATGGAAGCCCTCTTGTGACTCAGTTGTTCTTAATAAGGAACTGAATTGCATAAAGTTCTCAGCAGACTTTTAAAATATCCATGTTGTGAGTGGGCAGAATATGTAGAAAATATTTCCTTATTTCTAGGTACAGCTGAGTTCTCCAGATCTGTGTGTTCCATATTCATGAACATAAATAACCTCAGATCAAAAATACTCAGAAAAAAAACCAACACTGCATTTATATTGTCACTCACAAAACAATATGGCGTAACTACATAGCATTCACATTGTTATCTAAAAAATGTACAGGGTATGTGGATTGGGCAATGGCTCTGCCCGATTCCAGCGGCCTGCTAATGGGCAGCTAGCAGGCAGGTCCTGATGGAGTCGTTTGGTTCCTGCCACCTGCATGGGAGACCTGGACTGAATTCCAAGCTCCAGGTTTGAACCCCAGCCCAGCCCCAGCCATTGCAAGCCTTTGGGGGCATGAACCAGGAGATGAGCACTTGTTTCTCTAAAGAGTTTTTTTTTTTTCTTTACTGTAAGAGAGGACTGTGTGTAGATTACATGCAAATACCATACAATTTTATATAAAGGGCTTCAGTATCCCTGGATGTAGCTATCCGCAGGGGTCCTAGAAGGGCTCTCCTGCGGGTACCAAGGGATAATATCAAATACTGGCAGCATTTTTTATCCCACTTTATTGAAACACATTTTGGTACTTTTAAAGCTGTTTTTTTTTTTTTTCCTTTAAAGCCTCTGACAAAGCATATAAAACCTGCATTTGTGACTGAGACCTAAATGTAGACAGTAGATCTTAATAATAGCTGTGCCGCTGCACCACCAGGAACGTCAGGCCTATTTTAGTAACATCACATGTGTGCCACTCAAGTCAGCAAGGAGAAATAATTTAACGCTTAAGTAGAAGAGGATGTCACAGGGTCTCAGATCCTGTCTCTGCTTCAGGGGGCGTGGGGACCTGGATGAGAGGTGCATGTACAGCTGACTAAGAAGAGAGCCAACACAATAAAATAATGGCTGTGTTCAGTTAAGCTGGACCTGCACTGCTCGACGTGGTCCAAGCATAGAAGTAGGCAAACAGGAGTCATGGGACAAAGCAATACTATTGTTTGCTTAAACAATCCCCCCTCTGTGTTCAACACTTTGTTAACTTATCAATTGACCATAAATATATTTGACTTCAGCCCTAAGTATATTTTAAAGTGTTTGAAACAGCAAGATTTAAAATAGCTGCAAAAATCCCATTAAGGAGCAAGGTCACCTAGAGGCCAAGAATGCCACTGGCGCAGTGTTGTTGAACACATCACAAAAATGTTTTCCAATCCGAAGCCCTGTGTGGACCAACTGCAACTGTACACACTGCCTCTTGCTGCTCTTGGTGAGCGAACCACTGCGGCTGCTGCTGTAATATTTGATACGTGCAAGCCGGGGGAAGGAAAGCTATAACCAGTTCCCAACCACATAACGACTGGACAAAACAGCACTTACTCAATAGTTTGCTTTTTCCCCCGCTTCTGAAGTGCTGCTTCCAGGACAGGTTAAGCCACTGCTTGCAACACCAGCAGCCCACATCTGAGCCCCAGTGCAAGCTCTGACTGCTCTGCAACTGCCCCATGTTCCTGCTGATGGGCACCCAAGGAAGCATCAGGTGACGGCTCACATACCTGGAGCCTCAGCAGCCATGCGGTAGAACCTGGATGGAGTTCATGGCTCCTGCCTCTATCCTGGTCCAGACCTGGCTGTTGTGTCCATTTGACGAGTGAACTAGAAGGTGGAAGATCTTTTATTTCACTCTCTACCTCTCTTTTTGTCGCTCTTTCAGGTAAATAGATATGGGGAAGAAAGGAGGAAAGGGAACTTCCACCCTACTATCAGATACTATCTAAAGGGCAGGCATGTGGCGCAGCAGTGAGGCCCCCACTTGGGATGTCTGCAGCCCCGAGTGCTGCACATCTGAGCCAACTGTCTGCTGTTGTGTACCCTGGGAGGCAGCAGGTGATGGCTCAGTTCCTGCCACCCACATAGGAGCCCTGACTGTCAGACGCCTGGCATGAGCTTGGCTCAGTCCTGGCCTCTGTATTTGTTGCATGAACCAGCAGATGGAAGAACTGTTTCTCTCTCACTCCATCAGTCTGCCTTCCAACAGTTTTGAAAATACTATTTGGCCCTGTGTTTTCAGTCTGTTCCATTAGTCCGTCACCCATTGTACAAGGACAATATTTTATTTATGTCACACTTTTAAGGCAAGGCCCGCGCTGCACAAACTAGAGTGTTATCTGTGATTACATTGCTCTCCAAACACAGCTAGAGTTGGCTGAAGCAAGGACAGACACTCCAACCAGAGAGCTGGACTCCGACCTGGGCCTTCTGGAGCTGGGTCAACTGCACGACCCTGACAGCGTGGCGAGGGCAACACTCAGATCACCCTGCTGGCTGCAGCCATGAGAAAGCGAAGTCTCGTCCAAATTGGACAAGATATAAGGGCAGTTTATGAACAATTCGTAGGAGTATTCCTTGCTTCAGTACATAAAACAGTAATTCCAAAGTACCCAGAAAAATGAAGGTAACAAGTAAATTAATTTTGTTACAGAAGAACTTTTGAAATCCATGCATATTTTTTTTCATGATACATAGTTCCCATGACATATTTACTATGAATGCACCAAGCATTATTCTTGTCAGGAAGACCTCCATGACAGAATTTCACAGTTGCTGTTGCTCTGCAATGTACAAGGGACTGGAAGCCAAGAACGGGGATTTCTACTGATGAAAGCGCTGTCAGGAGCATAAGGTGGGCAAGTAATGGCAGAGCTACCGGGAAGTCAACTTTACCTGGCAGTCAGGGCAGCCCAGCCTGCAGAGGCTTTTTCAGGAGCCCATGGTGTGGTCCAGGAAGAACATTCCAGGTGACAGGAAAAGCAAGGAAAAAAGGCTGAAGCACAAACGAGTTTGGTGTTGAGAAGAAAGTGGGCAGGACAGGAGGAGTGGAGGAAGCATCACACTACACTGCATTGGAAGGTGCTGTTACCGTCCAGGATGGCTCTCTCTGCCTGGCTGAGACACCATCAGGGGGACAGCTGAGTATAAGGGGTCTTGAATCCCAAAATTGCATGGAAAATGCATAAGGCAACCAATGATCATGGGTTTTAAAATTGTTTTGCACCCTAACAAGCTTGTCCCACAAACTTGCTGCACTAGCTTCTGTGTCCTCACATGTGGGCAGTGCGCATGCACTGTGACAGCTGAGAAGCTGTGAGAGCCACCACTGTGACAGCTCAGGAACCCCAGCTAACACCCCAGCGACTCACAGGTCACAGGCACTGCGGAGGAACAAATGGTAGAATTTGTTCTACACACATGCTAGAATAAGCACCTTATTCGCCTCACCCTGTTAAACTGGTGGTTTCCTATCCCAAATACTGAAACTTTAAACATCATATCGTTTTAATCCGTAAAAATTGGCTTTTACCATTTTTACAAAGCCAGTTAAGATGCCATTATTCGGGCCTGGTGCGGTGGCCTAGCGGCTAAAGCCCTCGCCTTGAACTCTGGGATCTTACGGGTGCCGATTCTAATCTAATGGCTACGCCACCTACCATCCAGCTCCCTGCTTGTGGCCTGGGAAAGCAGTCAAGGACAGCTTAAAGCCTTGGGACCCTGCACCCGTGTGGGAGACCTGGAAAAATTTCCCAACTCCTGGCTTCGGATTGGCGCAGCACTGGCTGTTGCGGCCACTTGTGGAGTGAATTAGCAGACAGAAGATCTTCCTCTCTGTCTCCCCTCCTCTCTGAATATCTGAGTTTGCAATAAACATAAATCTTAAAAAAAAAAAAGGATGATGCCATTATTCCCTGTGGGAGTGCCTGGCTGTGCTCAGCAGCTCTGGCTCCTGGCTCCAGCTGGTTGCTCATGCAGACTCGGGGAGGCAGCCAGTGCAGCTGATTCTAGTGTCATGGTTTCTGCCACCCACCTGGCAGAGCTGGGCTGAGCTCTGGCTCCTGGCTCCATCTGCAGGCCCAGCCTTGTCTGAAGCAGGTGTCCGGGAATGCACCAGGACTTGGAGCTGTCTGTATGCCTGAGTCTCACTTCTTCCCAAAGAAGTTACAGAAACGTTGCCATCTACTTAGTAAAATATACATAAAGGATCATATGATCATAAAATAGAATCAGGGCAGCTAGAGATGAAGGTTCATCTGTGTCAGCAGCAGAGGCCACTCTCTCAAGCACCTGCGAGTTGCGCTGAGGGCTTATGTAACTCCAGACAGTCTCCATTAAATTACTTCCTGAAGACAACTTTAATTTACGATGAAGACCAGAGGTGTTACTGCAGCCTCAAAATTCAGAATCCTGAAAAGTCCAAATATTGGAATAAACAGGAGAAAAAAACTTTAGCATTTTACTTATACCTTAATATATCTTAATACTAACATAGAATTAAAAAACAAAAAAACAAACAAAAAAAAATCTTGGAGAATCTTTTTGGTCGAGTTTATAGTCCTGAGTTTAAAATGCTACTTTATCAGTTACCCTGCCTGTGAAGAGGTTACTGAATCTCTTAACTTGAGCTTACCTACTTAAAAACAAAGACATGAATAATTTGCAGCTGTCTCTTCTTGGTTTATTTATTTATTTATTTATTGAGTGGCAGCAAAATAAAATGGGAGAAAGAGAGACGTATACAGGGAAAGCTCCCATTTGCTGGTTCATTCCTTAAGTGCACCCAGTGGCCAAGACTGTGGGCCCCGTCAAAGCTGGAAGGTGGAAACTCAGCCCACATCTCCCATCTGGTTGGCAGGAGCCCTGCCTTGCCAGGAAGCCGGGGCAAGATACCGAACTTGCGTATTCCGGTGTGTGGGACGCAGGCATCATATAGCTGGGCCAAATGCCCATTTTACTCACCACACACGAGCAAGCCACTCCCTCAGTGTGTGTTTTTCACATTCACTGGCAGAAGGGTGAACACTGAATTATGATCATTTGAGGAGCAGCTCTCCCAAACCACAAGTTAACTAGTCAAGACTATTGAGAATGCAAAAGAACAACATTTTCTTTGGCAAGCAGGTTTCATGGATTTCTTTAATAACTTTTTTCAGTAAAGACCAAGAATTCCTTCTTTAAAAAAATGCGATGTTTGCAAATATGCTTGTCTAGTTCTTCGCATAGCCTTCGCACGGAATACAAAGAGACAGTGTGTTATTCTGAGGACAAGGTCAAATTTTCTGACTTTTTTTGGTTCCTACTTTTAAGGCAGGCATCAGAATGAACAAGGAATCAATTCAGCAAGCTCAGCAGGAAAAGAGCTGCTTTCCTCAAAAGTCCTTGGGAGCCGAGGTCGACTAACTGTGGCTCAGGCAGAAGCCCGCAGAGCCATCAAGGCAGTTCGTCAAGACTGACAAAAGTGTGGGATCTGGTGTCACGACTCCTGTGTTTACCCCGAACACCACCCAAAGGCAGAGAAGGTATCCGGGCATCCCCAGGATCTGAAGGTGAGAGGCACAATACGTCTGCAGCTCCTTCTCTCAGGATGAAGAAAAACCAGAATACTAAAGACCAGTAAATCCTGGTGAACTGGGCAAGGGTGCCTTAGAAGCTTCATGGAAAAAGTTGAGTTATTTTGGTGCAAACATTTTTTTGAAGCTGATGCATACAAAGGTCTTCAAAAAACTGTGGAAAATGTATACTGTGAAAGAGTTATGCATGGATATTCAAAATATTTGGGGCAGCAAAAGAAGCATTTGTTTTAATTCAATATGCTACAAATCTTTTGAAGTATCTATGTATGTAAAGTTTTAAGATTTTTTTCTAAGCAAATCTCGTGAATTTTTTCTAAACTTGAAATAACCACTGGATAGAAGAGAGGATAACAGGATTCTGCCACAATGACAAAAAGCACAATAGTTATGCAATAGAAAGGGTAACGGGGCCCTTTGCAGTGGATAATCCAGTGGTCACCACCGTTACCAGGGGCTTAGACCCAGCACCATGAGTAACCACACTGAACATTGTATACCTCCCGAGATGCACCAGGAAGGACATGACATCACCTAGTCATAACACCACCCCCCAAATCCAACTCCAGCTCGATTATAAAAGAAACAGCAGACAAATGCCAGTCAAGGTACAGTCTAGAAAAATGACCTAGAAGCTGCAAAACTATCGATAGTATGAGGCCAGGAAAGACTGAATAACAGTTTTAGATGAAAGAGCAAGGAAATATACCAAGTATATACAAAGATAGACATGAAAACATTGATTCTGATGATGTGGCAAACTTCAAGTAAGGGCACTACCTCTTATGTAATAGTATCGTAACATTAGCTCCCCTCTGCATAGCAGCTCTACCGCAGTCACCCAGGGAAGATGTAAGCTCAAGAGTCATGTCTGTCAGCATCCAAATGTACCTGCTGCCTAGCAGGAAACTGGACTGGAAGCAGAATGGAGGCTCCAATGCAGGCACCCCGATAAGGGATGTGGGTGTCTCAAGTGATGTTGTAATTGCTCCCCAGCACGCCCACCCCTAAAACTGTTTCACACGCATGGCGGTTTTGAACCATACCTTTCCCAGAATGCTAATAGCACATGCCATTCCGACTTGTCCAACACCCACTACAGTGATCTTATTGTTGGGGACCGTTGCCTCCGCCCCTGCCACTGGCGCGATGAGTTTTTCCTTCAGGGTTGCCATTGTACACTGCAACAGAAGAACCCAAACACCCATGAGTATGACAGCAACCAACCTTAAAATGTCACTGCTGCGATGTTCACTGAACCACAATGCAGACCGAATCCAAGGATGTCCCAGAACACGCTTTCAAGAGCCCCGTGAGCTCCACCAGAAAACCCACTAGGATTAGAATCTCCTCTTCCCCTCTGTACTTAATAACTCTTAACCACTGTATTGTTCATGGTTCATTTACTAGCTAAACGTCACAAAGATTTGTATTTAAAATAGCTACTATGTTTCCATTGCAGCTACAATGAATTTCTGTCTATGCACACTAAGTTTGAGTCTAGCATTTACTAATGTTTAAGCTAAGCGACCGAGTTTTCCTAAAAAAAAAAAATTCTCCCAATATGGAGCAATTAAATTCCATTGGATGCTAAGCAACAAAGAAGAGCGTGATGTCCGTAGATGCCCCTGTAAACGGATATTCTCATGCCGAAACTCAGGCCTGTCCCGCTTCAGCTGCTACACTACTCCCCCTCCAGTTCCCCCCCCCCCCGGGGGAGGGCGGTGTTTCCTTCACTTTAAGCTTATCTTTGTTACTTCATTTCTTCGTTTGAGGAAGCTGCTGTGTAAATACAAGTGTTGTTCTGACAGATCTTGGGCATTACTTCTGGGAGAAACTACAACCAGTGCAGATTTTCCCTTCAGATCTTTTTGAGGAAAAGTGCTTTTCTTTCTCCTTTTTTCTTAGTGGAGTTACATAAGCAATGAGAAGAAAACGGTTTGCATCATATACAGGCCTGGGCCAACAACCGGTAAAAGCGAGAGTCTCAACCCCTTAAATACAGACCGTGAGGGCTGACGCAGTGCCTGACGGCCTGGCACAGCGATCCTCCCTCTCATTCCAACCTTTTCAAAATCCTGAAGTGTCCCCTCCAGTTCCCTCCCTTAGGGCGGCTCTAGTCCCCTTCCCTTCTCCCTGGTCCCCAACTGCCGCTTGCAAAGTGTGCCGCCCACAGCCACTTCTTCCTCCCCAGGCCGGCAACGAGGGAAGTCACGAGGGCGGCAACGGCAGCAGATCTGTCGGGGCCTAGGCTTTAATTAACTCCCATAACCCAAGCTGGCCCAGTAAAGAAAGCACCTGAGCATCCAGCAACAACAGAGGCCCTCGGAGAAGCGGCGCGTGACTCGTGACTCCCGGGAGGCGCCTCGCGCAGCCGGTATGGCCGGGCTCCCACACGCGCCACCCCGGAGGCCGCACCGCATCCCTCCAGCGCCGCAGTGGTGGATTCCAATATCCAGACTCAAGACCTCAGGGCTTGCCAAGACCACCTGGTGCCCTCTCCCTATCCCTCGCCTAGCTCGCTGGGCACACGTCCCGGTTCCCGCCTGCAGCTCTGGGGGTGGGTGATGTGGCCGCTACAACCCTATCCAGGGCACGTGGAGCCCCGTTGGAGCCGCAGATGCAACAAGTTCCTGTCTTGTTAAGACGCAGGCTGGACCCCTGCGGCAGCGCGGGCGCAGCCCCGGACGCAGCCCCGGGAAGCCAGCAGTCCCCTGAGCTTCCCACCCCGCCAGCCTGGGGTCCCACGCTCCCCGGAGACGGAAAAGGCCCAGCCAGAACCGAGAGCGGATGCTCAAGGCTCCAGGCCCCGGAGAGCGAAGGTGCTCCTTGGTCCTACCCCTCATCTTGCCACACAGAGACTCTCCTGTGGTTCCCGCCCGGCTCATCTGGGAGCTGAAGTTCAGGGTCCAGAGCTGAGACCTTACCCGTCGGGAGCAGGAGCTGCGAGGTGAGTGCTGCAACCGTGGTGCGAAGGAGACAATGTCAGCGGGCTCGCGTCCCGGACGCCGGATCCGCAAGGCGGGAGGCGGAGGCGGGGCCCGCGCTGCAGCTCTTAGGTTTCTCTATTGTGATTGGAAACCCGAGTCCCGCCCACCCCTCCCCCGGGCTCGCTCAATCGCCTTCAAGGACAAGAGCCCCAGTGTGCGCACCCTCCCCCGCTCGCCGCCCCGAGGTCACCTTCCACTCCGACCAGGCGGCCTCGGTCCCAGTTCTGCTTGCAGCTACTGACTTTTCCAACTGAAAGGCCCGGTTATTTCTAAAACCTGCACGTCGCTGGCTCTTCCGGATGTTCAGGCTCTAGTTCGGATACATTTAGTCCAAATAAGGATGCAGTTGCGTTTTGCAATCCAGCTCCACCTTGCAGGACCGCCTTTCTCAGCTATGATGCTGCAGATGTGTTTGGTTCCCTGAAGTAGTAATGACAGCTGGGTTTTGATCAGCTCCGTTCTAAAGTTCATTTCATGAAGCAATGACCTTTTTAAATGTTTCTACTTTACTTCAACGACTACACAAGGATTCTCTTGAGTTGCGTAATGAGACCCGAGAGGCTGCATTCCAACCAGAGAAGTTTCTCTGTGATCTCAAGGTCAAAGCTGGCCCTCAAGGGAACGTGCCGGGGCCACAGAATGAGAGGTGGCTTCTCCGTTAATGCAGGCGTAGACAGTGAGGTGATTCAGTTCTGTGTCTTCCGAAGCCCGGCCCAGGGCCTACTACCTTGGTACAACACTGATTTCATTGGAAAGGCGAGGAGAGCGAGCTTTTCTGTCCTTCCGTTCACTGCCCCCCAAATGCTGGCAGCACAGCCCGGGCTGGGCCAGGTGGGGCCAGGCAGAAGCCAGGCTCCAGGAACATCATTCACCTGGGTGTCCCAAGTGCGGGGTGGAGGGAGCAGCAGACCACGGACTTGAGCCTTCTTCTGCCTCCCAGGCTGCACGTTAGCTGGGCTCAGTCAGAGATACAGGCACTCCTTAAGAATCCTAGCTGCTGCACCACTACCTGCCACGCTTCCAGATATTTCTGAGAAGCCAACACCCTGGGCAATGTTTTATGTGAAACACAATTCTAGACATGCAATGATTCAGACAATATACTCCCCGTGCTGCTCCAGTCTAAGAAATCATTCAGGGCCTGATGCGATGGCCTAGCGGCTGAAGTCTTCACCTTGCACTCACTGGGATCCCATATGGGCGCCAGTTCTAAACTCGGTAGCCCTGCTTCCCATCCAGCTCCCTGCTGTGACCTGGGAAAGCAGACAAGGACAGCTCAAAGCCTTGGGACTCTGCACCCGTGTGGGACACATGGAGGGAGTTCCTGACTCCTGGATTCGGACCGGCGCAGCACCGGCCGTTGCTATCACTTGGGGAGTGAATCATCGGATGGAAGATCTTCCTCTCTGTTTCTCCTCCTCTCTGACTCCTATATCTGACTTTTCAATAAAAATAAATCTTTTTTTTTTTAAAGAAATTGTTCCAAAGCTATCTCCTAACTCATTGAAAAAGAAAGAAAATTAGGATATAAGTAAAAAAGAAAATTTATCATAGAAAGTTACAGGCAAACAGCTCCCAGGCAGTCAAAAAAACGGAATGAAAATGTCAACAATTATCCAGAAGTGTTTCTTTGAAAAAGATATCCGAACTTTCCCATGTGACAGACACCATTTGAGTGATCTTGTCCATGTGCAATATATATTCCAGCCGAAGATACAGATCATAAACAATGAAGAGAAAATGACAGAATAACAAATGAAAATGTAAGAATGTATGTTTACTGTGTTTGGACTTTTGGACTGCTGTGAACAACATTTAAGGTGTGCCTTTATGTAGCCGATGGCAGGAGGTCAGATGGTTTCCTGCAGCAGTCAGTAATTCGAGGATGCTGTACTCTGTCAACCTCAGTGTCCTCAGAAGATTTTATGTTCTCTTGTGGGGAGTGTCAGCTGTTTGAGAGATACAGTCCCTGAGTTACAGAAGGGACTGAGACCTTTGGAGATTATCTAAGTCAAAAGAATGCTCAGTTTGGGTGGCTGGTCTCAAGTTACTCTGTGAGTTAAGAGGGAAACCAAATAGAGGTTTGCTCTTGCTACTATCTCTGTGACTAGCTGTGGGTAGGAACGGTTTCGTATCTTAATTTTGCTATTTTTAACCTTTCGTGGACCAAAAAAAAAATTAAAAAGCAGATTTGCCAATCTATTCAGAACTGCAAATTTCTTGAGGGAATTTTATTCATCTTTATATCTCCAAATAGCATTGTATTGCCAACAAGTTACTTTTGTGTCTTCCTAGCAGAGGGTTATTGCCCTTGAGATCCACTGTGAGCAAATGAACCCGGGGTTAGGATTCGAGAAACATCTATTGGTTCGTAGAACTGAAGTTCCTGGAAGTTGAGTTCCAGTTAGGGGAGGTGTTACTATAATAGCGATAGATGAATGTGACTGAGTAACAAATGACCTTGGTGGGTATCTAAATACAAGAAGGAAAAGGAGCGAGAGGCAGAAATCGATTAGCATGGTTTGGCTGTGGTCAAGTGTGTCCTTCAAGTGTTCACATGCTGAAACTTGATATACAAGTAATGTGGCACTTGAAGCGGCGGGGACTTATAAAGGTTCTTTAGTTTGTGGGGTGCACCTCAAGAAGGACCCTCGTTTCTTTCTGGCTTCTTGTCTTACCAGGTGATCTCTGGCTTCAACATACACTTCCACTTTGATGTCACCTGTCATGATGTGATAGAGTCAAGAGGGACCTTGTGAAAAGTCGGCACTGGGATGGTTGGACTTTGAGCTTCCAAAAGTTTGCGTTAGAGAGGTTCCTTTTGCTTGTACCTTATCCAACCTCGGGTATTTTGTTCTGTTATCAGAAAACAACTAACACATCCATGGCAGTGAGGAAAGAAGAGCATCAAGGGCTTACTGTCTTTAAAAAAAATAGGATTTTAGTTACTCACAAATAATAGGATTATCTAGTTATTCACTGGATAGTTGTAACATAGAATGCCTTTTCTGGGCACACATTAACTATTGCTTTTAGAAGGAAGGTGGTTCTCTTCTGAATTCTATTGGTAGTTTTTGGTTTGCTCATAGTAATATTGAAATAGAAGATAACTAGTTTGTATTAAATAGCACCAGCTCCCTGGTGTGCCCACGCAAGAAATGTCTGGAAGTAACACTGTTGGCAACAAGTTCTTAGGTGCAAACAGATTGACGCGCATGGATTTTTGAAATTTCTTTTGTCCTTATAGGCTGGTTTCTAGAACCATCTGAGAAACATGAATGGATAAACCTTTCCCAGGTGTGTCCCTTGGGAAAAACAGTGCCTTGTAGAAGGATATTATGAGCCTGGAAGGTCAGAGAGCCCTGGATTACAATTGATTGGATGATATTTGTATGATAAAGACTGAATGGATACCTCTTATATAACTGATTGGATATCACTTGTATGAGAACAGTTGAGTGGACGGCATGTAGGATATACAAAGCAAAAGGAGTTCCAGACAAAAGTATAGAAACAGTTGATGGGTATTGTTGATAAGCTCAATACTTCCTCCCTTATCCCATATGACCCTAGGTGTATAAAGTCTGATGCCACTAATAAACTTCAGTAGTCCACACATGTTGTTATTGGCTCCGTCCACCAAGTCCATCACTGCAGGACGGTGACCGTGTCTTGTTGCTGGACATTTGGACAGTGGTTGAGATGCCCCTAGGGTTGCCTACATCCCATATAAAATAGTTCAAGTCCAACTTCTGCTTCCAACTCAGCTTCCTGACGACATGCACCCTTGAATGTGCAGAGCTGTCTCAAGGACTAGGGTCACTTAGGAAAATCACTTAAGAAAGCTGGAGTGAGTTCCAAATTCTTGGCTTTGGCTTGGTTCAGCCATGGCTGTTACAAACATTTGGGAAATGAACCACCATATGGAAGATCTCTGTCTGCCTTTGAGGTAAATGAAAAGGTAAATAAATAAATAAAAATGTGAAATGTGCTTCAGGCAACCTTGATATGGGCAGGGTCCAGCCTCCTAGAAAAGTACAGAAAAGAAAGCTCTCCTACAGAGTGAATTCCACCCTGGAGTGGAGTTCCCCAATTCTAGTTTGGAAGTGAGTTTTCAGGCAGTTGAGCTCAGCCAAAGCACTCAGAGAACAGAACCATTGCTTTGCACATGCTGTGCTGATGTGGCCCAGTGACTGCTTCTGGGAACGGAAGTGCCCATGCCACATGCTTTGTAAGCATTGCAAAGGTCCTCATTGTGTGATGTCCTCTGATACCATCTGTGTCACATTCACAGAACCATGAGTCAAACGAAAGGTGTGAATAACCCGTCTAGAATTGTTTCCTCTTATGCTTTTCTAGCCACATCTGTCTTACTATATAGTCTCATCATATTGGATATTTTTAAGGTTCCTTTAATGGAGAGAGAGAAAAGGGGCAGGCAGGAGAGCGATTTTTCATCCATTGGTTCGCTCTCCAGTTATCTACAGCAGTAACAGGAACAGCACCAAGCTCCCCATGTGGGTGGCTGCTGCACAAGCACTTGAACCATCATCTTCTGGCTCCCAGATGCCTGAGCAGGAAGTTGGATCAGAAGAGGGGAACCAGGACACAAACTGGCACCCAGATGGGGTATAGTGGCATTATAGAATACTGAGCCGTAGGGCCGGGCCCTTTTTTATTCTCATCAGTTCATCCTGTGAGAATGGAATTCTGTTCTAAATTTTGGGTACCAATGATGACAAGAAAAGATACCTTTAAATTACTAAAAACAACAAACTTTCTGCTCCTCCACTAGAGTAGACAATGCTTGGTCTCTACTTAGGGACTATTCATTTACTTTATAAGGCTATGAGGCCTTCCTCCTCCTCTCCTGCTCTTCTTAAATACATTGGAGCTTCATGAGAGAAAAAGCTGTCTGAAACTGGAGCCAACTGAAGGGGGTAAGGACCCAGAGGCGGTAAGAGAGAAGCTGGGTAGTGGCACTTGAGCCTCTGCTGAGAGTCACACCTGAGCCCATCTCCTGTCTGGGCTTTCTCAGGTGAACAA